TGGACTTGAGTTTGAAGTTTGGTTACTGATGAGTCTTGTTTGTAAGGGGGATCGCCTAAACAGGGTGTATCGTGAAAATTCTGTTCATTTTCAAAATTTCCTGTGGATTGGATGCTCTGATTTGGTTCAGTTTGATACTCGTTTTGATAAGAGTGATTGTCATTATAGTCTGGTAGTCTTCGTATGAAAAGTTTTCTTGAGTGTCGTTTTGGCTTTGATTATAAACAGTATTATAATCTTCATTATTTACTTGATCTGGAAAGTATTCTTCGTTGAAGAGTTGTTCTTGGTTATTAGCTGTATAATAACCTGAATTATCAAAATCTTGATTATTAGCAGTATAATAATCCTGGTCGTCTTCAAAATAATATTCATAACTTTCATTTGGATTGGAATTGAAATGATGCGCTCGTTGTTGTTGCTGCATTCTAAAATTTGGATTTTGCATAATTTATTGTTGGGGGTCTGTTTTGAAAATTTGGATTTGGTCTGATTACTGATGTTCTATTTTGTTGGGAATTTTGCGGTTGACTCTGTCTTGGAAAATTCTGTTGAAAATTCGGTCTTTGAAAATTCGATTGCTGTGCCGTAGAGACGTTTGGTCTTTGGAAATTCGAATTTGGTATATTTGGTCTGGGAAAGTTGTTAGGATTTGGGTAGGAATTTTGATAAAAGTTATTCGGTCTGAAATAATTCTGTTGCACTGGTCTTCTTTGTGAATTTCTGTCCATTGGTCGACGAATATGACTTTGATTTTGACTCGGAAGGAAATTTGGGTTTCGTTTCTGGTTTTCAAAATAGGAAAGTTGTATTTCGCGTTTTATACGTACTACTGCTGTGACTATATCAGGCGGATTGCTTGCTCTGATAATAGGTGCAATTTTTGGTTCAAGGCCGGTTAATAATGTGTTCAATGTCATGGATTCGATAAGCTTGATCTGTGAGTTCTTTTGTTCAAAACTCATACGCTGTTGTTTATTAACTGAGGCTAACATTTTCGCATTATGTGTCTGTAATCTCGAAACGAAATTTAATGCAGATTCATTAGGTAATTGTTTTAATCTTTGCAGGTCTTGAATGAGTGAATTTAGATCTCGGCTGTCTCCAAAATGTAACTCTAATAAATATCTGATTTCGCGCCAACTATCTGGATTTCGTGAATTTAATAGCTCGGCTGCTTTTCCTCTTAATTTGTTCTTGATATGGAGTGTTACTAAAAGTTTTTGATCCTCGATTGCCATTCCTTCAGCAATTGAGCATGAATTCAAAAATGTTGATAAAAATATTGGATTGCCATCGTATTCAGGAATTATTGAAAATATTTCTGACAATCTGTATGGTTCAATTGGATTTTGATCTGGTTCTGGAGTGTCAGGCATTTTGATTTGATTTTTGAATTTGCTTAAAATTAATTGAAATGACTAGACTTAGTTACGCAATGTTTTAAAGTAAACACTGAAAAACTGGGGCTGGTATTCGGGATATTATAACAGAACTGGACTTTGGTTACTATTCGTTCGTGACAATAACTCAAATACGGGATGATTCTTAAAGTTACTTACAATATTTGTTTCTTCATTTGTCGTTGCTTTGCTTCGGGGGATGAAATCCTTTAGTCTTCGTGAGCGTTGCTACAGGATCGGGTTGAACTACTGCCGAAGAGACCGTCCTCAGATGAAATCCTTTATACTTCGTGAGCGTTGCTACAATAGTCCTCCAATGCTGCCGAAGAGACCGTCCTCCCGTGGGTTTCTTCTTGGTTCTTTCTTCTTTAAAGGCTTGGAAACCACCACGTTTTCGTGTTGTAGGAATCCGTACGACTGCGCCAATTTGTTATATCACTTCTCTCAAAATAGACTTTTTAAAAAAACACTTTATTATACAGGGTGATTTCATCACCAAAGATATAAGATATTAAATGAGTGTACGATTATGACTACAGTACGACTAACTAGCTTGTTTACAATTCTAGCTTTTATACTTGAGGTAAAACAATGAAATAGTGTGGCGAAGTTCTAGAAGCTGCTGAATTGAAGGCCTCGTCTTCTGCGCCACAAGGAGGTCTTTGTGGTGCCTGGTAAACACTGGATAGAGGTGACCTCTGGAGAACAATGGGGTCCTGTGGAGTCTTCATATAACATGGATATTATTTAATGAAATGAACCAAACAAAAACAGAAAATGATTTCTCAATATGAATTGAAAATGTTTGCTGAGCAAGGAGGCAAGATATAGTAGGAGAGCGTGTAATAATAACTAATTCAGTTTTTTTTTCTCTCAGCAAAAGCTGTTTGGAATGCTTTTGTATGAAACGAGCAGTCCGAACAAGTGGAGAAAACCTCACGGAAAATAGGAATTGAAGTTCACATCAATAATAAAGCCAAAAGTAAACAATTTCAGCATATCAAATATTCATATCATACTATCGTTCCTAATGGTGTATTTTTTATTCTCGATACTTCCACCCTTCTGCAACAGAGGGTGGCTTAGAGTGTTTTAACCCAATGTAAGAGTCGATTTTCTTTTTGCCGTTACGCCTTTCAAGAATAACGGACTTCTGATTCTTGTGTCCTTATTCAACGTCTCTATTCTCGATAGAATGAAATTCCAGAGACTTAGATTCTGAAATGTATACCATAGGTATATTGAACTTTATCATAATTGGAAACTGTTGTCATTTACCTTCCTCCATGATTTACATTACTATATGCATTTCACATTTTCATATGTATCCTTCTAATTAGTAGGTACCTATCCAGATTCCGAGTAAACTTCTAGGTAGTGACCTGTAAACAATGCAGTACTTGAGGACATTGATATCTTCCGATGAAAGCTTTCGTGAATGCACATGAATCAAACTTTTTGGGCTAGCTTGGTCACTGATGTAAAACTTGTAAGCTTGAGTGATTTATTTTTCTCTATTGTATGATCTAACCTCAAAATTTGAATAATATACTACTGAGTTATTCAATCCAAGAGAGGAACAATAAAGAATAACACTTCCAGATATCCTTCACTGAGGAAGATAACGATAACATCTGACTGACGCCATATATTTTAATTTATGTTCTGGTTCCCATGAAATGGGATATCCTGTAATGTTCAGAGAACATCGTGAGAACCAAGGGAAATAAGTTAGGAATTGGTGTTCTTCTTAAATTTCTGGAGGTTATATGCCTCGGGAAACACCTCCCTTGGCAATGTCTTCCAGAGCTTACTTAATAAACAATTAAAGTTATGATATTGGTAACTCAACACACCTATGTCACCGTGATCTCACCATGTCTCAAAAATCGCATTCACACTTGATTGTCTTGACTTACTCAAATTCACGCTTTGTGAGGCACAAGAAACGATACAAACATCCACGATCACCGTCATTCGGCATCATTAATCGGAAGTAAATTTCAATAAAGAACTCAATATCATAAAACAGATTGCAATCAACAACAGATACAACGTTAATTTGATAGACAGTATTCTTTCTAAAAAACTTCATCATAAAGCTATTCAAGAAGTTTATCCTACCAACAAGAATAATGATCAAAATTATAGAACTTCAACCTATTTCGGATCATCAACTGAGAAATTAGCTTCATTTCTACATAAACAGGACTTGAAAGTGGCATATAGAACAAATAACACGTTGGGACGGTTTATCAAGAATAATAAAGACAAAACTTCTAAATTCGAAAAATCAGGGGTATACAAACTTAACTTTGGATCTTGTCCTAAGGTATATATCGGTCAGACAGGTCGTACGTTTAATCAGCGCAATCATGAACATGAGATGAATTTTATGAAAAAGAAAACAAATTCAACATACGCCAACCATATATTAAAAGAGAACGATAGTTTTGATGATAAATTCGAAATTCTGCACGTAGAAAATAAAGGACTGAAACTCAATCATTTTGAATCATCAGAAATCAACAAACTCAAAAATTTTGACATTTTTTCTTAGTAAGTAATAATATGTATTTGCTATCAACTCTTTCTTAATCCGATATACCGTATTTTAATGTGGATATTGTGCCTAATTTCCGAAAATGGAGGTTTATCGTACCTGTCCACAGGTAACTAATCCTTCAGGTTGGGAAAGTAAGGTATATAAAAGTTAAGCAAGCCAACGTTAGTTTAGTTCATTGTACCAGTATATCACCTGACGAAGCTACTGTGTTAGCGAAACATGTCGTTTGTTTGAGAATTTTGTGGAAATCTTATCGTTTGTGAAGTTTTTACATTTATCATTAATCCCTTCGAACAAATCACGCAAAATGGCGAATATTAGTCATGACAATTCCTAACGTATATAGTTTGAATCAGTTCGTTATAATACTGTTACGGAAAATGATGAAAAGCACGTGACATAACACGTTCTGGGAATGAAATAATAATAGTCTGGAGGAGACGTTGAAATATTGACTCGAAAAAGATCGAATAGACGTTCATAGGTCAGTTTACTGAAACAGCGACGTTAATCGCTGGAAATGTAGCTGAGTCAGCGTAAATAAGGAACTAATTGAAAAGTCTCATAAATATGTTATTATCACTTCTAAAAGATATTATCTCAAAAAGGTCACCAAAGGTACAAGCGTGATCGGAACGTTAAGCGTTAGACGCTGCAAACGCGAATGCGAACAAGAACAACGAAATCGGAACTCATCCTATTGTGACGTAAGCATGAGACGTTGTGGTGGGACAAAGAAAGAAATGGCACAAAAGAACAAAAACAATACTTTCAATATCCTTCAAAGACCTTTGAGACGTCTTAAAATAACAACCTCAGAGTAGGCAAATAAAGAAATGCCACAGAAGAACAAAACCAAAACTTACCTCTTTGGAAAGTGCATATTACGTCTCAAAAAAACATCTTTATGCCAACATTTTCAAAACATCACAGGGATGTTTGTGCTCGCTGGTGTACTGTACTTGGACTGTTTCTGTTCTTGATATACATCAACTAACTTCCTCAATAAACTATTTATATCTTTTGTATAGATTTGGCCGAAAATCAACGAGACATTGAAGAATCAAGATGCCATCGGTACCCATTTGGCTTTGCGTTGTCAGGTGCATACCGACAAAGTGACAAGGGTGAAGACCGCAGAGGACTTCTCGAAGATGCCTGAGGGCGGATGCGATCGGATGTGCGAGGCGATGTTGAATTGCGGTCATATATGCAAGCGGTTGTGTCACGTCGAAGATAGAGAACATCAAAGATTCAAATGTAACGAGATATGCGAACGGTGAGTACCTATGTTCAGATTTCTTTATTTAATGAATTTATTTGTAAACAAAGATGCCCTGCTAATGCGCCGCATGACGTAATCAATGGTCGAAATTCCAATTCAAATGTTTAATTGAGCAGGAAAGGCTATCATCAAATGAAAGCTGTATTTTCTTTCATTAATACAATTTGATGTGATTTCATAGAATTGCCAATTGACTATATAGAGCCCAACATGCCTGATAAGAATGTTAATTGCTGGTTTGGGAGATACAGGGTGTTCTTAGGGGGATTTTATTTTAAAATGTCTCACTAACTTGAAATGAACATGAAATTTTGTAGTTTTCTGACATGAGAAAAACGAATTTGCAACTTATTTTGTGATTGCTGGTAGTGGGTGCTAGTGACACTTCGATAAATTACATCATATCTTCTTTTTCCATTGAATAATGATCAAAATAAGTGAAAAATCTGAAAGCCTGTTCAATTTGACATAAAAAAGTATTCTTATCGAATTGTCTAGCTCTAACGATTCTTGCACACACTGTATATGCAACATTTATACAAGACATGTTGGGTTTGTTGTGTAGTATGTATTTGGCAACACTGTATCAGGGCGAGAGGCATAGTTGAGTTGGTAATAAATTCAGTTTATCTTTAACTCGCGTATTATTAACATATATACAACAGGGTTAAATCTTCATATTTTGGTGTTTTCCATTCTCAATGAATCACCCTGTATAATGATTGTTTGTCGATTATCACGTATTGCTGTATTTTCATAAATAATATATTTGGGAGAAGCCACTTAGAAGTTGACTGTTTGATTCGCCTACAAACGTTTTTATTTCAAGTTGAATTAATCCAATTTGATTTTTTGCTTTTCATTATTCCCTAGCATCACAAAGCTAGAGCTGACGTCTGAAGCCAAATAGCATTACAATAACCAGTAAATTGATAAGGTCTATTGAATGAATCGTCGACTATTTTTGGCAGCCGATATACAGCGGGTGTCCCATGAGTCATGGAACAAAAGAAGTGGGGTGTTAGGGGGGTAATTTCCAATCAATCTAACCGTATATGTGGTTATGTGGTTATGTTGATGGTTCAAAAGCTAATAATTTTTATTTTATTTCATTTTTTCACCTTTCCCCAGAAATAATTTTATGACATGTTACTTCTTATCAATTACCAGAGAAAAATGTTGCTTTCCTTAAGTTTTTTCATTGAATGAAATACTTAAGTTGATTTTCAAATGCCGCTGGCAGATTCAAAATTTGATCCACAAAAATTACCAATTATAAAAAAGTGTTGCCCATTCAATACCGATTCCGAAATGGTATAACATATGCGGTTATTCCAAACAGCCTTTTTGTTATTGATTTTTTTCAAATGGATCGCGTTTTTCATTAAAATTGTATATCTTAGAAACCATCAACAATTTGATTACCATATTTGCCGTTAGTTTGATTGCAAATGACCCCCCTACCACCCCACCCATTTTTATCCATGACTTATAGGACACCCTGTATGTTCAGGCTGACTGACAAAAACGCCCCAAGCCATAGCGGCGCTATTAACTATCCGATTTTGGAAAACAAAACAAAAATTATACAATGCCATTTGAGAAAAAAAAAAGTTGACAATCGCTGTCGTTGAGTTGAAATGGGGAAAAAATGGTTAATGTTACCTTGTAGTATCTGATGAATAATTTCATTTGCTTTTTTGTTATTCAAAATTTTAAAAAAATTTCTGAAAAATCATCTCAGATTATTTTTCAAACCTTAAATCGGTTCAAAAATGAGTGAGCTAGAGGGGGGGACATTTATGGTGAATCACCCTGTACCAGTATATCACCTGACGAAGCCACTGTGTTAGTGAAACATGTCGTGTGTTTGAGAATTCTGTGGAAATCTTATCGTTTGTGAAGTTTTTACATTAAACATAATGAATATGCGTACATCAAACCGTGGCGGCCCAACCGATGTTATTATAACATTTTTCTGCAACCGACACAAAAGTCGTCCATTTTGATACCAAAATTAGCTCTTAAATTGACGTTTCTATTACTGACACAAAAATAGGTATGTTGCTAGGCAACATATTTAGTTCCTAGGAGCTAAAGTTGAATTTTAGTTCCTAGGAGCTAAAATTGAACTTTAGCTCCTAGGAACTGAAAAGGATCTACTGGACGTCATCAAGAATAAACAACATTTTGACGGTTGGTTATTTGGGTTGAGACGCATACCTGATTTGTTTCCGATTTCAGCAGATTTGGCGTTTCATACCCATGCTGGAGATATAAATACACCTTTATTATAGTTTAGTATTGGAATTATAAACATCTCGGCTTCGCTAAACGCTCCGCCTCGCAAATGCAAAATTCGCTTGTCAAACAAAGTGTCACTTTTGATCCTAATAAAAAAATCTACTATTTGCCGCTGCCGACACATATCCGCTGCTGACAGCTCATATTTGCTGGGCGCTTTCGTTTCAGATTACTCTGCGAAGATACCGAGCACAAATGCAAGAAACGGTGCTCCGAGATATGCGGACCTTGCAACTACCCCGTGGAACGAACCCTCAACTGCGGTCATACTGTATTCATCCACTGCCACATCGATCCGGCCGTGCACAAGTGCACAGTTCTGGTCGAAGCTAAACTGCCTTGCAATCATATAACCCAGAAACGTTGCCATGAAGACGTAGAAACTGCCTTCTGTCCGCATCCGTGCGATACTAGAGTGGAGCCCTGTGGACATGCCTGCATGAGGGCTTGTCACATCAGAAACGATCCTGATCACTTGGAGGTATTTTTTTGATCAACGTCTACTGGTATCCCTGACATTGCTGTCACGTCACATATATGGGCGCTCCAGAAAATCATTGAAAATTTTAATAATAAATATGTACAGGGTATTTACTTGTTGAGGAAGATCATATGGCGAACGAGTTTTGTAAATATGATCCGATTCTATTCAAAATTGGAAGGTATGTGGGGTTTTCCGGGGATGGAGATGATGCTTGATTCGTCAAACTTGGAAAATTCAAGATGACGGATCCAATTCATAGCAAAAGAAATTTCTAATTAGGATCTGATTCTATTTAAGATTGGTATCTGAGGGTTTTCGGGGTCGAACTTCATGATGTTTTGTCAAAATTGGGAAATGCAAGATAGCGGATCCAATATGGCGAACGAAACTTGTAATTATGATCCGATTCTATTCAAAAAATCGAAATTGGTATCTGGGGATTTCCGGGGCCGGAGATTATAATTATTTCGTCAAAATTGGGATATTCAAAATGGCGTATCCAATATGGTGGCCGAGTTTTGTAATGAAGATCCGATTCTATTCAAAATTGGTATCTGGGGGTTTTCGGGGTAGGAAATAATAATTGTTTCGTCAAAATTGAAAAATTCAAGATGACGGGGAGCCAATATGGCGAAAGACATTAGTTCATATAATTATTACTCTACCACAAATATGTAGGATGCAAGAGTAAAAATAACGTGCCTATAAGTTAAACTGCGTATAGTTGGCATATACCTACTTCTTTGTTACTTTCATCAATAAATTATTCGAAAATGACTTTTTATTTAAGAAAGACGGAAAAATCATATGTATAACATGGGGGTGAAGTATATTCTATTCTTTATTTTCCTGCATATTTTACGTATTAATTTTTATCAGACTACTTTTCGTCCTAGACGAAGTTTTATACATAGTGTGATATTAGTAACTCCATAAATACTTCTCCGAGTTGGATATCTGAAAGTATATTCAGCACACATGACATGAGTACAGTAGTCTAGATACCCACATCGAGGTTTCCACCATTTCTCAATCATAAGGCTCAGCTCATTCAGCTCATAGATAAACTACTGCTCAGCTTAAAATCAGAATGCATTCAGTCAATTCAGTCAACCCTGGTATATGGTCTAAGAACAGTCTCTTTTGGTGAAATATATTAAGCTTTCAGTACATTTTATATGTTCCCTAAATCGCGAAGATTATGTTGGAGTAGCAAACTCTAAAACTAGAGGATTGTTCATCTATATCTTGGTATAGTCAGTGACCTCAATATAACCTAAAAAACAACGAATGTCAAAAATCTAGTGTTTATCCCGAGAATTGAATAAGGATGGAACTATATAACTGTTCCACAAACACTTTAGAGTGAGAGGAGACGAGGATCTGTCCATACCCTGTTAAGATGACTTTAACGTCAATTTCCATTAAGGGACCCTAGTCGGGATCTACTCGAATAGAATAGATTAGAGATGGGTTTACGCCGGGCGTTTTCAAATGATCAACAAAATAAAATATCAATAACATTGAACTTGATGAAAATTCTCAGCAAATGAATGGTATATTCTTAAAGGGTTTTTTAGTGAAATTAGAAATAGATACAGTTCCACAGTTTCACTTTACATGTCACATCACTTTCCTAAACTTCACACTTTGATTATGAAATTCAGAATATGATTCACAGCACACTACTTATTAGTTTTCGTAACTGTCATACAAAAATACTGGATGATATATCACTAGTCACTATCGGACTCTTCATGACTTGAATCTTCATTTACACTAATGATCACTGGATTGATACGTGGTAAGATACAATATTCATTTTCATTTTGGATTACATGAGATACACAAATCCTCCATATGTCACTCTCGTTCATCACATTGACTACTGTCCTGATGGTGGTCAAAACTGACTCGCTAAATAATTGCGGTGATTGGTTATTTTTACGTACATTTCACAACGTACTTGAAGATTTGTAATTATAATCCGCGTATTCATTCAACTTATCCCTGATATCTGGCAATGTTGGCACCTTATTCTCATTATACAATCTATATATAATTCGACGAATTACTTCTTTCGGAACATCATGAAGCTTCTTGAGTATTTGTCACACTCTTTTTCGTTAAACTTCATCTACAACATTTCCGGTTCTAATAACTCTGTATATGGTGGTATAGCTTATTTCAGTTAACTTCTGTATTCTCTTCTCAAGTTGGTTTTCTGAAGAATCATTATTCTCGTCCTTGAGACGCGAATAGATATTCAAAATTACCCTTTGCGTTTAAACGTGTAAGTCTTTATTGGCGAACTCCGCTTGCTCTTCCTCCGAATCACTATCACTCACTTCGATGACTTCCTCAAAAGGCCTCCAGAACACCAAACCACTATGATGGAAATAATAAATTTTCTGAATTTCGAGTTGAACCAATGAAGACAACCTCTACCTCGTACCCCACTAGGCAGGCTAGAAGATTCTTATCACACAGGAGGCCGTCCATGCAACTCTGACCAATCAACATTCAGTATAGTTTGGAGTAACCAATGAGACGCGGTTTCTAGCATGACAACGCTTGTCAAGTCCACGTTGACTGCACAGGCTGCATACCGGGAAAGCTCAGTAGAAAATATCTCATTCATTCCTATTCCAATGTTGAGCAAATCGACAAATCCTCGTATCGTCCTTAAAAACGGAAGTTTCTCAACTGACTCCGCATAAACTATAACAACAACAGTGAATTCCTGACAATCGCCATGATTAGGCTTCCTCTTGGGCTTTGGTTATTTTTTGATGAGGTAAACTTGAAATTTATCGAAAACGCCTTGAAAACGCCCGGAAAGCGCCCATAACTTCCGGAATACGCCCAAAGCGTTTTATTAATCTTTAAATCTTGCAAAGCGAACTGGACGCTTTCCAGGCGTTAATCCGTTTAGGCAAATATCCGATTGCCCATCGCTAGAATAGATTAATCCCCATTTGCCAATCAAAATGTTACAAAGAGTACAAGGCTTTAGCAAGAAGATCTTGTCATGTTTTCTTCCTCTAGAGGCTCAGAGCGAAAGTGGAATCCACAGATCGCCTTCTGCAATACAGGATTTAATCGACTCTATCTGTTGCTAAATTATTGGAAGGTAATAAGGCAAAGGAACATGTGAGAGCTGTGATGGATGACAAAAGTTATGATACTAGCGAAGTGATGAAATTGAAAGAACGTTGGAGTGCCACTTTTATTTTCAATCCTGATATTAATCACTTATTATATTTCACAGTATAAATGCAAGAAACAATGTGAGAAACCCATGAAAGGATGCAAAATGACAGAAGATGAAGGTCACTTATGTCGTAAATTCTGTTTTGAAGAATGTTCTTTGTGTGAGATAACCATTCTCAAGAAGAGGACCAAATGCAGCCATGCCTTCAAGGTTCCATGCCATGTTAACGTTGATGATATTCAGTGTGAGAAGCCCTGTCAAAGAGAATTGCCTTGTGGTCATAAGTGCAAAAGAAAATGCGATGAATCATGTGGGAATTGTATGGAGGAGGTTTCCAAAGAAGTTCCTGATTGTAAACACGAAATCAAAATAGCTTGCTTTCAAGAACCCGATCGCAAATACTGCGAGAAGAAATGCCCACGCTTATTGAGTTGTGGTCACCCATGTAGAAATACTTGTAAGGAAGTATGTACCGAAGATTGTAAGGTGATAGTAGAATGTGCAATTCCTAGCCCTTGTGGGCATACTATCAAGGAAATCGTCTGCTGCCGGAAAGACACAGGTATATATTTTAATTTATTTAAGTTACGTCAATAATAATGGTCGTTCCAGAGAAATTTTGTTACTGATTGTATTTTAAATTGTAGTTTCTAATCATTTTACAGAGGGCCTCAGAGATGTGTGCGATAATTTTAGTCTGTGCATGGGTTGTTGTTGTTGTTATTCATTACCCCAAGAAACAAATTTGTTTTTTTCTGTGACGGGAAAAAAGTTTGGCGTTTCATCTCTGTTGGCAGGTTATAAAATGTCACTTTTCATAAATTACTTTTGTCCCGTGGGAAAAAAGTGAGCACTTTTTTCCCGGATATATATTACATATACTATATACTCTGTTAATGGCTTTTGTTGTGCTATATTTCCGAAAAATGAGTCAATAATACCGTCTCCGAGAAAGAACTGCAAGTCCTTTTATCTTCCATTCGACTTCGCGGTTTCGTATATTACTAAACAACTACTGAATTCGCAATTTTTTAAAATCAAATCACAGAATTGAACTGACAGAAGTGACATCAGATATTTGATTACTTCAAAAGAATGATAAAGATGTCTATGAAACGCAGGTGTCCCTACTGTTAAAAACTTGAAATTTCACGTCGATAATTTTCAGATTTCGAAATAATGTAATATCTTCTCAATATTGATTCGTCCTTCCTTCTGTCACAGAAAAAAATAGTGTATTATACACGGGAAAAATATTAGATTTTAGCTCACGGTTTTTTGTCTCCCTCCGCTACGCGACAACACAATCTGGAGCTAAAATCTACTACTTTTTTCCCTTGTATAATAAATAACTATTTCATTGGGATATATATATATATATATACATGTATATAAACTGCCTGAGGAACTATTCCCAACAACATATAATCTCCAGAAGTTCAAAAAAAATTCCAATACCTACCTCCTATCCCTATCCTCCCTAGGAACGCACGATGTTCTTTGAACATTATAGGGATTCCCTTTCGTGCGCTCCAAGTGATAAAAAAAGCAAAAATAAAAAGCTCCATAAATCAATGATCCATAAATTCCCAATTATGTATTGGTAATATTCCTAATTAGCAATAAAAAATCAATTGGTCTCAAAATGTTCCCTTATGATTTGTGGGTTATTGTTTATAATAAATTTGTGAATATAATAATTATATTAATTCACACTAGAGGATATTTGAACCGGTAAACGTGAACACGGCGCACGCATTGTGGGCGTGGTCTTGTCAGTTATCAGCATTCAGCACAATGTTGCCAAGTCTTCAACATTCACATAATATGTTGTTATGGAGTATAAGAAATATTTGGACATGCTGGTTGCTCGAAAAAGTCAAGAATGAACTATATATAATATCATCCCAGGCAACCAGATGACGTTTCAGTGACGTCTCTTTTCGTCAGTTGAATGACTAAGATGACGTCAGGAGTTGACGTCGTATGACGTGATAAACGACGTAAATAAGTCACAGCCCAATGACGTCATATTACTCACGTTCATTGACGTCATTCACTCACCAAATTGTGACGTCAAAATGACGTTCAAATTTGGTGATAACACGTAAAGAAGTTTCCTCGAACATGGTGTGATAATCACCACTGACCTCTGATGCCATATAATATTGATTATTCATTATTGAGTCTGCCTGGTGGTTCCTCCGGTGTCATGTCCATTCAATCGTCTATTCAACAGCGCTATCCCTCAGTACCTACGCATCTCCATCAGAATGAAATGAGTAACTTACTCGTATTTGTATAAAAAAGTATGTAGTTTGTGTCGGCGAGATGTAAGCAAACCAAAAATAGTTTGATAGCAATAAGGAGGATGTTGGCGAAGTTAGCTTCACTTTGTTGAGTAACGTATATTCATGCATTATTTGTCACCCAACAAAAATCTAAATAGCAAATTATTGAAAAATTTTTTGAATGACGAATCTCATCAAATTGGTACGTCACACCGACGAAATTTTTAGACGTCATAGATACGTCACTGCAACGTCATTAAAGTGACGGTTTCAATATAGGTACACCTATATTATATGTATATACACATATGTAGCTTGATTGGTTTCCAAGATATACAGGGTGTCAAAGTTTAAAAACAGTTTTCTCTTACTTTTTGGGTATATATAAAACTTGCATGTTGATTTGTTTTAATGAGTTATACTTCTATCGACGTTAGAAGCATCTATATAAAATTGCCAAGACGTACGAGTTTTTATGTATGTGTGTAAAATTAATAAAAAATCGTTTTTTTCTGAAAACTTTTCGACACTGAAAATGCCCATCCTGTATATATATATATATAGGTACTAATATAACTTTGTGACTTCCATTGCATTGAACAGGCGGACCGACCTCCACTGTTTCTGATCCTATATATGAAAACATATTTGCATATTTATCAATAGGGGAATATATATTACCGAGTTTTCTAGAGAGGGGTAAGCATTTCTTTTTTTTTATTTATTTATATATATCGTACGAAGTGACTTCCAATTCATATATTCAAATTAATCATAGCTAGGCCGTTATAGACTCCGACCTCTAAGCCAGATATTCGGTGGTCACATCGATGATTCAAACGAATATAATAGTGTGAATTATCAAGACAATTATTGTGTTGATGAACTTTCTGAGAACTCCGCAAATGTATTTATTTCTATTATTCCAAATTTTTTGGGATTTTCTCTCCTCGTTTCTATAAAATAAAAATATGAATATTATTTCAATATACGTGTAGTAAGGACAAATCAGATGATTTGCCCCAAAATGTCACTGCGTTTAAAGAATTTTCCTATCAGAGAGCCTAAAAGAAAAATTCACTAGCTTGTCAGTGACAATTTGTATTGAAAAAATTTTTGGAGAAGGGAAATAAAGGTATATAGAAAAAATATCAAATTTTCACTTATCTTTGGACGTTTCGGGACCGGTTCTGCTCCCATTTTCAACATAAGAAGAGATTATTTCAATAGCGAAGTCGTATAATGTCTTGAAGCTTTTCAGTTTTCAATGACAATTGGTGACGTTGGCAATCAAATGAGTTACAGGATGTTTTCATTAATTGATCTTGAATTTACCATTTTCATGTTCAGATTTTAGTAGTGAATACCATGTTCTGTCTATATCAACTGAACAAGAAGCAATGTTATTGTCTCCGTTCAGAAGAATGCAAGCAGATTCCTTGATTTTTCTCTTCTGGTTGTTATCTTCTTTTCCAATAATTTTAATATTATTCCACTCTGCCATATGTTGTCCGTCTTCAGTAAGGATATGTTCAGCTAGTTTCGATTTATCGATGTTTCTTTTCTTTATATTGTACTTATGTTCCTTCGTCCTTACTGAAAGAGGTGAAACCAAGAGACCTCTTTCAGTAAGGACGAAGGAACATAAGTACAATATAAAGAAAAGAAACATCGATAAATCGAAACTAGCTGAACATATCCTTACTGAAGACGGACAACATATGGCAGAGTGGAATAATATTAAAATTATTGGAAAAGAAGATAACAACCAGAAGAGAAAAATCAAGGAATCTGCTTGTATTCTTCTGAACGAAGGCAAAAGCATTGCTTCTTGTTCAGTTGATATAGACAGAACATGGTATTCACCAATTGTCACTCGAAATTACTGCTAATTTCGTGTTACAACTCGAAATTAGCTTAATTCCGAGTTATAACTCGAAATTAGCGCTAATTTCGTGTTACAACTCGAAATCAGCTTAATTTGACAATATCTCTGACAACATTTGCGATAACAATGGTTGCCATGGTAACTTATATTCATGGAATTCTCGTGGAAATCATCCGTAGTCTCAGTTTTTGTCATAAAAGAAACATTAACTATTAACCGGTATAACTCAGAAATGATTGAAATAAATAAGTTCGAGTGAATAACAAAGAAGTTTATAAACAACATCCCTGCAAATACAGTAACATCACAGAGATATCGCAGCGATGTAACAATTGTGCGATATCGCATTCTTCGTCGCATAGACGTTGCTGCGACGTCAGAGGGATGTTATTTTGTCACTCTCAAGTTTCATCCATGCGACGTCGCTGCGATAAGGTCTCTGCGATATATCAGCGATATGTTTTTTGCAATGTAGTTGCGATATGTTATTTGTGATGGAAAAGCGATGTGTTGAGAACAAGTTTCCTAAAATACCAATATGGTGTGATAATATAGGTACACTCCCTAATAACACACTTATGTCCCATGGACATCCTTAGGACGTCCTGTCGGGACATTCAGGACGTCCATAGGACGTTCGAATTTGCTACCGTGGACGTCCATTGGAGGTCTGTGGAACGCACAAATGTCCCACTTAAGGACCAACTAGGGACGTCCTTTTGGGACGTCCCTGGGACAACTGTCGAATACCTAAATCCTACAGTATTCCTCATCAAGCGCTACAGAGGACGTCCTTAGGACATCCATAGGACAACCTATCAGCAACGCTGAGGGATATCAATTGGATGTCCATAGGATGTCCCAGGGACGTACGAATTATACTTGAATTTGAATTTGTCTGGGTCCCTTCAGAACCAGACCTTGCATAACTGAGTAGGACACCCAGTTGAGTCGATGGTCCATATGAGGTCCCCAAAAAGTTTCCCAATGATGTCCAATGGACTTACGTGAAGGACATTGACAAGGAGTACTTATAGCCTACGAGCAATCATTCGTCGGCGAGGTGTAAGTTAACGTCCTCGCAGGAACAACATATTGAAAGTACCGACAAGGACGTCCATAGGACGTTATTTCTAGGACATTAGGAGAGTACAGTTTATGTACCAATTGAGACATACGACGGACATTCGAAGGACGTCCCTAAGGGACATTTCGATTGTTATACGATCCTGGAAATATTGAGGGCGTCTGTGCAGAGATATTTGAAGGAATGTACCATCAGGGTCATTTCATGGTTGTCTAGAAGGGACATTATATGAGATTTGAAGTCATGTACTCCTCGGGACATCCGATGGATGTCCCTAAAGGAACGTTTGAAATTAT